AAAGAATAGTGTTAATGCAAGTTAAATATATGCACGTGGAGTAATACTTTATTTTTTAATTTACTTAACTTTTACATATTATAAGATGATCTTCAAATATCTAAATCAAAACTATAAGCATAACCACAGAGTATCTTTGTTCATAGGCTTATGTCCTAATATATATATATTATAGCACTCAAGAGAGACGTTCTTATATGATCGTACCTAACTAACGCAACACGAATTATGTGTAATTATGTAAATAAGTGGCGAAGTAGAGAGTTATCACGCAGCCTCCCCACTACCCACGCCCCACTCCCACCTTCTTCCAAGAAAACCCCCGCGAAAACTACCAGCGATATTATAACTCCTAGCGCCGGCTTTGTTGTACGGAAAGAGCTTTTTATTTTTGTTATTTTACAAAAAGGAGTAAAAATAAATTCAAATTTTTTATCAAAATCATCATCATCATCATCATCCTTACAGCCCTTCACAAGTCCACTGCTGAATACAGGCCTCCTCCAAAAAATGCCACAAAGCACGGTCCTGAGCTACCTACATCCATCGACTTCCTGCATGTCTTACCAGATCGTCACTCCATCTAGTGGGTGGACGCCATACACTTCGTCCGCCGGTATGAGGCCGCCACTCGAGAAACTTTTTTCCCCATCGGTTGTCGATTCTTCGAGCTATATGGCCAGCCCATTGGCACTTAAGCTTACTAATCCGTTCACCATAGTTTATCACGCAGAGAAGCTCCGAGCATAGCCCTCTACATAGCTCGCTGAGCGACCTTGAGCTTCCTCATCCGGCCAGCAGTGAAGAACCACGTCTCAGTTCCATGGGTCATCCCTGGCATCACGCACTGGTTGTACAGTCTCGTTTTCAAGTTTTGAGGTACACCTGACGAAAAGATGTGCCGTAATTTGCCGAACGCTGCCCAGCCGAGTTGAACCCGTCGACTGACCTCTCGGTCGAAGTTACCTAGTCGGACTATTTGTCTCAGGTAAACATACTCGTCAACAACTTCGAGCTTAGTGCTCCCCACAATAACCGGCATAGGTGTGACATGGACATTAAACATGATCTTTGTTTTGTCCATGTTCATCTTAAGACCTATCCATTGGGAAACACAATTGAAGTCATTGAGCATAGGGCTTAGGTCCTCCAGCGATTCTGCCATAAGGACTATATCGTCTACAGATCGAAGGTGAATGATGTACTCGCCGTTGATGTTAATACCGTATTCTTTGCAGTCCAGAAGCTTGAAAACGTCTTTCAATGCAGTAGTGAAGAGTTTCGGGAATATAACGTCACCTTGTCTTACACCTCTCTGTAGTTGGATAGGTTTCGTACTCTGATTCTGTACTCGGATAGCCATCGTAGCCCTACTGTACAAACACTACACTTCGATATACCGACAGTCAACTTGGTACCGCTGAAGGGACTGCAGCACCGCCCAAATTTGGACGGAATCAAAGGCTTTCTCATAGTCCACATACGCCAGACATAATGGCAAATTGTACTCCTTGGACTTGCGTACAATTTGCCGAAGGGTATGTACACATACATACATACATAAATATCATCAATTGCTATTTTGTCTCATTGACTAGCATTTCGATTTAATTTCAAAATTAAAAGTTTAATATTATCCATTGATGTAGGTACACTTCTAAACATCAAAACATTTTAACACAGTTCTTAAATAATGATTTCTTATATTTACGCGAACACTACACATATAAATAATACTATTTTTACGGATTTTATCACGTATATTAACTTATTTTATATTATAACATAGCTCATGTCAAGAATTGACGCTCCGGAAGTCTGCAGCCTGTGAACTCGTACAGGATCGCCTCCGTCACTACATTAAGTAAGTACTCGAAACGTCAGGAATATAAAACAAGTTAATATACGCGATAATATCCGTAAAACTAGTTTTATTTAACTGTCCTTAAAACTAGTATCAGCTTTTATTGAAATAAAACCTTCTCCATGCTTAGACGCCATCGCCACAACGCGACTGCTAAGAAGTGTTCAAAGCGGCGCCATCTTGAATCTCATCCCGGCCTTACCGCGGTCGTTACTTACGTTACGTACCGCGAGATAATGTATTAAAATATTACACGTAGATATATACTGTTCTTATAGGTACTAAACGTTATAATATTAAAGTAGTTTTTTGCCATGTGTTGGCAACTTAGGAGAAACCATTACCTCATTTTATTTCTAGGGTGTCGTAAGAAGCGACTTTGGGATATGCGTAAAAGATATTTTGGATTCCGATAGATGCAAGTATAATCTGGATATTACAAGGCATAAAAATAAAAAATAAAAATGCGTGAGTGTCATGGAACACTCGGTTGCAACAAAGTTCCTTTCGTAGTATATTATTATTAATAAACGTATTATAGGTAGTATTGATTAACAAATAAATTACTAGCGTCTATTAAGATGAAGCGTCATTTAAAATAAAATAATAAGTATTTCTTTCATGGCAAGATAAGAAATTTTTTTTTATAGGATAAGGGAGACAAAAGAGCACACAGTCCACCTGAAGTTAAGTGGTTGCTACGGCCCATAGACATCTAAATCTATTCTCGATTACGAATCAAAATGCAGATGCGTTGTCTCGTTTCCAGTAAAAAGGGTCTCTGGTTCTCTACACTCACCATACTCGTACGAAACACAGCAGCGTTAAGCTGCTATTTTACCTTGGTATTGTGTGCGAGGAAGATGGGATATTATTCCATCTCGCTTCCTTATAGCCGCCAAGGCGATTTACACTACGTCAGAAGGGGTCGTGACGGGAAAATCTTACACTTTTTCTCCTCTGGCCCCTATCCGCCAAATTCGTACCGTCCGATAAGGAAATTCGTTCCAACACTAGGACCTGAGACAGAAAGCAGTGTCAAAAGTGAAGAGCGAAGTGTCTGATATTGCGATTGTGAATCCGCCTGCCAAGCGAGACTGCAGTGGGAGAGGCCTATGTCCAGCAGTGGGCTTTCACCGGCTGATCATGAAGGAGAAAAAGAAATGAGAAAGTTTATAGCATAATTACTACAGTGTGATACCTATAGTGTACCGTACAAAATACGTGTTTTTCGAGAATATAATGTATTTTATCTACGTGCATTTGACGAAAGGTATCAACGGCTATAGTTGCCGACTTTAGAGTGACGGTTCCTGGGTTTAAATCTCAGTTGATGCCAATATTTTACAAATACAAAAACCATAGGTTTTTCGGATCATAATACGTATATTGCGTCTTAGTCGCGTAGCTAGTCTGTCAAAAGGTTAAATATGTCAAAAATCAATTTGCTGAAAATTATTATAAAAGAATTAAAGCCCAGAAAATTAAATTCATTCATTACAGCCCTTCACAAGTTTACTGCTGAACACAGGCCTCCCTCAAGGAACGTCACAAAGCACGGTCCTGAGCAACCTGCATCCATTGACCTCACGCATGTCTTACCAGATCGTCACTCCATCTAGTGAAATAAATATGAAATTATTTCTTTTTAATTCTTTGAAGTCAGCTTTAACTTTTTATTACAAGTATTTTTTACAATATTTAGAGTTTAACTTAAAACCCATATTAAACGTAACGAAGAACTCCATTATATTCTAAGTCTGCTATAATAAACCTAAAGCGTCTTATTCACGGTCCATCTTGACGTACGTCCGCTCAAGGCCGCAGTGCTGGACGTAACATACACACTATCGTGCACGAGTTCAGTGTGCTAGATGAAACATAACTTTAGAAGAGAAAAGACGCAATTTTTTTTGTAATGCCACCAATGTTGTCAAATCGCTAAAGGATGGGAATTCTACTTGTGTTATCTTTAGAACACAAAAAAGGAAAAGATTCTGGATAAAACCAATGTATAAAAATGTGCCCAGTATACACAAACTAATAATATAATGCATGATTTACATAAACATGATAGATTTAACGATTCAACTTTACGAAAACCAATAAAAACCGACTTTAAAAACTAGTGATACATAATTTTAGTAAGTAGTTAATCAACCCTTTGTAGATAGATACATGCCTGTTCTGTAAAGCCATCAGTTCCTGGTTTGTATACTTCTTCTTATTGGTTCTTAGTGGTTGGTTTTCAGAGACAACTGTAAAACAATGGTACGTGTACACGGGACAGCAAAAGTGTTAAAACAACGATTTTTTTTCGGACACTATCTATAGTGGCAGCTTCTCCTAGTATGGGGACCATATCTATTAATGTAAGTGTTCTTTTTGGTTTTGTTTATTCGTGTAGTCCGGACTGGAAGTATTCTACAAATACGTATGAAATTGGTATTTTTCAACAAATGGCGTCATATTTTCGCGATCTGACATTTTGATTTGTTTACTTTTGATTTTTGACCTTGTTGAACTAAAAATATTTAAAATTAAATGTAAATCTTTAGTGGGACAACTAAGCCATTTTTATTAATATTGATAAAACGTAATAAAATGTTTTATTTCTTTCATTTACTATGTCGCGAGGAATGCGCGTAAAAATTTAAATTGATTGACAGCAGAGCAAATGCATGCATTGTTACTTTATTTAATTACAAATATGCTGTACAGCCAGTATCCACACGATCTAGCATGTTTGATGCACAACAGCTTTGAAGTACGTTCTGCCTATTCGTTATCCATAAGCATGACACGAAAAGTAGTGGAGATACAAAATCAGCGGTTCAGCAAGCAATTAATAATAATTATTATTGACGTACGTCAAACCTACTTATTTTCGTTTTGCATCGTGCGTCATGCATGACCTTGACGGGACGTACGTCAAAATGGACCGTGAATAAGCCGTGTAATGCAGGTAAATTCTTGGTCTGTTCACAGCTTAAGTAACTAAAAGCATTAATTAAAAAAAGTAAACGTCAACAATGCCACATGTCATACGTTTCACGATGTCAAAGGAAACTTTCTATGAAGGTTATTTTGGTAATTTATAACTTATATTTAGAAATATTTTGGTAATTCGTGCGCAATGGAGAAGATTAGTGTAATGGGCGAGTCAATTGAAACGTACATTCGACCTTCACCTGATGACTTCGTCGCTTTTCTGCCCTGGGCTTGCAGTCAACTTGAGTCGGAGTATAATGTGATCATATCAAAAGTATACCAGAGTAAGTCTTGATATGCATGAATAAAGTATTGATATTTTAGAGAACTAGAAGAGGTATCAGTCTTAATTTTTGTAGCTTGCAAGCAACTCATTTATTTATTATAAGAACAACAAAACAGATATGAATAAAAATACATTAAAAATATATATTATAACAGTTTTGTGCCAGATTGTTATCTTAAATACGTTGACACATCATTTTTATATTTAATTCAAGAGGGATCATCTCTACGCTTTACAATATTTATGACATACATAACTACACAAAACAAATTAAATTTAACAAACAACAAATTTAAAGCGTATTAACTGTTTTACTGCTCTTTTGAATATCCTGAATCTTGGGTCAAAAATATACAAGCCGGAGCTTACATAAGATCGATTCTCTTGTTGTTCGTAGTGTTAAAGTAATATCGACAAATAACAAGGAATTTGCGCCCAGTGGCATTACATCTGCTTATTCCACTGAATATTTATTCATTCACTCTTCACAGCTTTTCAGTCTACTACTCCACGTAGGTCTCCCCGAATATTACCTACCTGCCATAGTTGTTACGCTTGACAGGCGAAATGACAACTGCAGTTTTTTATTAAATTTTAGTTGTTATCAGGACGATGCTGCTACCCGTCTTTTCCTCCAATATAGAATGGAATATTGGAGGAAAAGACGGGTAGCAGCACCCATCCGTTTTTTAGAATCTTACTACCTTTCGTCACCTTACCATACCTCACCTCAGATAACTTTTTTTTAATAGAAGAGGGGCAAACGAGCATGCGGCTCACCTGATGGTAAGTGACTACCGCCGACAAATGAACAACCGCAACACCAGGGAAATTGCAGGTGCGTTACCGGCCTTTTAGAAAGGAGTAAGCTCTTTCCTAAAAGGTAACTTGATAAAAAGATAATACATCTAATGCAGCCGATTGATTTAACCATTTCATTATGATCGATACAAAACGTTATAATGTATTTTAGGTGATTACACAAGAAGCTCCGGTCTAAGTGTCCGTAGCAAATCAAGAAGCAAAAGCAGACCAAAAGCAGTTCTTTCGAAAACCGACGCCGCGTCAGATAGAGAAGATAAAACGGTTATCATGCACCAAGTCGGTTCCGCTGAAGATATTGTCCATATTGTTGCTGTTCTCGACAACAATGAAGATGTAGTTCAAATATCTTTTGAAAAAAATAAGCATATACCCCGCCTTGTACTCAAAATTATTGGTTTGATCATCAAATTTCATCCTCAATTAAATTCTGTTATGATCAATCAAGGAGCTGATCTATCTACAATATATGAATTGAAAAAGATTCTTGTCCTATCGAATATTACTGATGTTTGCCTTGATGGTTGCTCTCTGTGTGAAGCCAACTATGATATTTTACTAGAACACGAATCAGTATTACGTCATTTATCTTTATGTCGATGTAAAATTGAAGATGATGTTTTACAAAACATTGCTAGTAAGCTAGCATATCCAAACTCAGCTTCAAAATCCTTGTCTGTACTCAATCTAGCATCAAATAGAATTACTGATATTGGTGCAAAATGTTTGGCAAATGTTTTACGTTCCAACCGATGCTTAATTTATCTCAATTTATCCGATAACAGAATTACAGATGATGGTGGTATTGACTTATTGGATAGCTTACAAGAGTTTTGTTTAACACCTGAAGAAGTATTGGCATCTAGGGCTCGTTATCTATCATTTTTAAAAACTAAAAATGATTTAATAGATAGCACAATGAAAGAGTTAAAGATTGGAGACCTAGGAAAATCACTGGCAAAGAAAAAGCCTGCACGATCAGTTCCAACTACCGTAAGAAAGAAAGCAAAAGGGACCGAAAGAGAAGGATCGTTAGTCTCTGTTCCTGAGACGACTGCAAGCAATAACGATAGCTCTGATAAAATTTTTCATGACAAAGCCGTGTCTATAGTTCAGACATCTTTAGGAGACTTTAGCGACCCATTTTTCTCGAACAATACTAGTGTTAAAGATGAAGTTTTGTACTGCAACGGAAACAATACACTGAGTTATTTGAATCTAGCTTTTAATGATTTGAGCTATATTTTTTTAAAGAAACTGCTCAATGTTCTCACTTATCAAAAAACAGTGGATAGGAAGCCTCGCGGATTGATCTATGTGTCAATAGACGGTAACAATCTGCCTGTGCTGTGTGATGAGTTAAAGGAGATTGAAGCTATTTTAGAAATGGGTATTAACGTTCAGCGTAATGTCACATCAAAGAAACGGCCACAGGTGAAAGTATCGTCCAGATAATTTAAATTTAGAATCTATTGTTCCCGCCTTAATCACGCTGATGTTGTATTTTTATTATTATTACAACTTAGCTTTTTGACTTGACATAGTCCAAAGTCATGCAACAATAGTTATTTGGCCAGTTTCCTATTAACATTATTATTAGTCTTAATTTTTCATACTTTTTCGTTTCTATAACTGTACGTAAATCATCAGATATATCCGCACGTGCAAATTCTTTAACTGTTTCTTCTTTTATTGTTTATATTTGTGAATATAAAAATGCAGTTAATTTAGGGCTTAAGTTTTCGAAACTAATTATAGATAAACATGTGAAAATAAATATATGATCCGCTACAACATAGCTAATGTTGTAGCGTATCGAGAATATTATTATAGTAAATCGTTATTTAATAATTATTATATAAATGCATTAAATAATGATTTACTATCATTGAGTTATATTATGTACTACGTACTAGAGAAGCCATTCCAAACAAAAAATGTGCACTACTCTATGTCTTGGCTCATGCGCAGTTGCGCCACCACAGACTAACTAGTAGATTGAAACCACACTAAATGACACTGTACGGATTGCAGTACAGTTCAGTTGAACATAGTGTATTTTCGAAATGCGCAATCTAGTACGAAGTACATATATATCGATGTTTACTATTGAACCGTGCTTGGTAATTTAAGAATATGCACTACCTCATATCATACCTTCGGTGTCGTAAGAGGCGGTAGAGGGCGACTGAACCAGGAGATGTGCAGCAGCATCTTCCTGATGCCTTCCTGAGCTATAAAAAAAATATTAAGGTTGAGAAACCGCGTACCAACCCGCTTACCAAAAGTAGAAACTATGGCAAATATCTACCCTATGAGGCAATCTATGGGGATAGCCATGTTCTTTTTTTTATATAGGATAGGGTGATAAACGAGCACACAGTCCACCTGATGGTAAGTGGTTGCTGTAGCCCATAGACATCTACATTTATCCTCGTTTGCGAATCAAAATGCAGATGCGTTGTCACCCGTGAGGACTAAGATAGAATGCCTCTTTTTCAGTAAAAACGGTCTCCGGTTCTCTACACTCACCATACGAAACACAGTAGTAAGCTGCTATTTGACGCTGGTATTCTGTGAGAGCGTGGTACTTCCCCGGTCGAGCCGACCCATTCGTGCTACAACTATACTACTAATATAGCTGCAGCATGGCTCTACCACGTTTAGACGGCATGGCTCTACCACGTGTTCAGCAATGGACTTTTGATAGGCTCTAATGGTATTGGTAATCAAATGGGTTTACTACTAATACTCATTCTTTGCTGTAGAATGTCGCCGTAAGTAAATCCGTCACTCCGTTTCGTCCCGTGGATGTCGCAAGTGACGACTATGGAATGTTCCAGAAAGATGGCGGTAAAACCATTTCTTTTACGATAGGAGTAACATGTCCACACCGGTGAGGGGAGAAGCGTCATAGTTGCGAGACATCTGAAACTTTTTATTATTTATGTAACCGACTTTAAAAAGGAGGAGGTATTCAATTCGACTGTATGTTTTTTATGTTACCTCATAACTTTTTTCCAGGTGATCGATGATTCTTCTTTTTTTATTTCAAGGCTGGTGCTTCTCACGTGGTCCCATAAATTAGATCAAAGTCTGACCAGTAGTTTTTGAGTTATCCTTAATAGTTTATATTTAAGTCGATTATACAATTTTTTTTTTAATTTTGCCGCTTGTTATTGTTTTAATTTTAATTGGTTTTTATCTTTAAAAAAATCTTAATAGTACTTACGTGAGGGTAATATGGTCAACCGGTTAATTGGGTCACTTTCTTATAACTCAGAAACTACAGCCTTGTTTGCATAGACGATTCTGTGATACGATAGCTTTTCATCAGTCAATCAAATAATGAACGGTCAAAAGGGTGCTCATCGCCTTATCGATGCCATTTGACAGTTGACATTACCTATAGTAAATATTTTAGTCGATTTTAGTATAGTGTAGTGTGGTTAGTTTTTTTTTTTAAGTTGTTTTGTCGAAGTGTTCCTAATTTTTGTCAGAACTTCTTTGTTATTTTTATTTTAATACATTAGTTATATTATACAACTTTGTGTTTTTGTCTCTGTCCTCCTAATAGTTTTGGTTTTATATGGAGGTAATAGAATAGAATAGAATATTTTTATTCAATATACATTACATGTGTAATTCTTATTGAAAGTCATTTTTTACTTTACCACTGGTTTGAAAAAAAACCCTCTGTCCTGGGAAGAACCAGCAAGAAACCTAGCGGGACTTTTTTTTAAAATAAATTTTACAATATAAATTAGAAACTGCTTGGAAGCGACCACCTCATTCCCAGGGGTTATTATCAACCAGGTATTCATTTACTATAATAACCCTTTTTATACAGTTTCAGCTTAATAAAACATTTAAACTTGGTAATAGAGAGAACCTGTACACTTTCCGGGACCTTGTTGTAAAGCTTAAGGTGACTATATTACCCTCACGTACCTTACAAATAGTTCTTGTTCCGTGTGAGATGCGAACCCGCGGCGCTCAGAGCTGTAATGCAAGGCCACTGCGCCGCGTTAATATTAAGAAAATAAAAAGTTCTTTATGTAATTAGCCAAATAAAAAGATTATTCACTATTTCCTAAAGTTTGTATTAAAGTGATAACCTACCTATTTAATTAAGTTTCAGTAGCGCTACTATAGACAATATATTATAAATTGGAAGTAGTAAACAGTTTATTGCTTTTGCAGTTTATTTATTCTTAATTTACGATTATATTGGTATAGTTTGGATGTGATGTCGCATGGACGTAAGTTGTCTAGGAGCGAGAGTCATTTGTTAACATATCATTTACTTTGTGTGATTTGGTCAGTGATCTCCCAATACACCACCAGCATTTTTAGGGTTTCATAACTCAAAAGGAAAAAATGGTATCAAGTAGAAATTAATATCAAATACTGAGGCCCCTTGGAGGTATAAAAATCCACAAAAGTGACACAGAATATGGTCCTGAGCCACTTGTAGATATCTAACGACTTCCTCGTAGATTGCTCAAGGCATAGCGCCTGCGCTTCGGTGATTCATCCTACTTCTTTTTGATCACATAAATATAAATTCATGTGAGATTTTGTACCTACTATAATAATAACGAGCTAAAAGTTGCAATCGGGAAATAAAGAATAACTATAATTCTATATTTCCCGATCGCTACGTTTCGTAAGATAAATGATATTATCATATTATAGTAAGTATAAGTACAGGGATAAGACTAGGATTGCTAGATTGAGAAACCAAAATCTCTGGACAATATTCTAAAACAGAATTAGGATATCGATTGTCACCGAGATGGTACGTGGATACTGTAGTCCATATATATCTACATTTATTCTTGATAAATAATAATAAAATTTTTACCGACTTCAAACAGGAGGAGGTACTCAATTCGACTATAGTATGTGTTTTTTATGTGTGTTACCTCAACTTTTTTCTGTGGGAATCGATTTCGATGATTCTTTTCTTATTTGAAAGCTAGTGCCTCTCATGTGGTTCTAGCTATATAAATTTAATCAAGGTCCGACTATAATAGTTTTTGAGTCATACTTAATAATTTATATTGAAGTATTGAAGTCTGTTGTATAAAATTTTTAATTTTTAATTATTAGAGGGACATTTTACCTAAAATCGGGACTTAGACAATTTAATGTAATATATAAATAAATTGGAAAATAACGAACACTAGGTATTCATGTCGTACCTAATGTTATTTATAAAACTTATATTTCCAACATTATCTCCGTAATAAAAAGAACTTGGTAGAAAAAGTACGAAAATAACTTTCCGGAATACATAACTAAACTGAAACTATTCGCAAATCAGTGCCGACAAAATTCCGACGCTAAATGGGCGCGAGCGGGTGTCGGCGCGTCGATATTCGCGCTCGGAAGCCATCTTAAAATATGGCGCCCCCGCACCGCGCCTCGCCTCCTTAGACGCTCGCTTTTTCAAACTCGAGCCTGCGAACGGAAGTCACGGGATCGTCAACCTTTTGGCGCGCTATTCATGTATTTATTATCTGATGTTATTGTTTTAGTGTAATTTACATTTCGTGTGTTGTGTATTGTGTACTTATATACATAAATCGTTTATTTTATATTTCGTTTTTTTAACATATAAATAAAATTGAAGTTTCAGACTGTAGAACCGAAATCTCGATTATAAAGCTGCCTTTAATCAAGCTCGAGACATGAATAACCATTTGTAAAATTTTAGTATGTCTGTTTATCCGGGCTAATCTTTGGAATGGCTGAATTATTGTGATATACCTTCGTTGATGATAGGTTCTATTCTTGTTCTTGTTTGATGGAATGTCTCAATTATGTTCATCTCTTCTGGCTCTGCCTTCAGCACCACTCACTGTATCTGATCTCTTCCTGAATCTTACGCCATATGTACAGTTTATATTGATTTAGGACTTGAAGAAAATGGAGGGTTATCGTTGGATTTTGAAAAGAAATGATACGGGACGTATTTGTATGATATGGCCAGTAGAGAAGGAATCATAAATTTGCTAATAATATGTTTTGGAATGGAATAGGAACTTGTACGAAAAACTATTTATAATCTATTATTTTCACTGCAAGAAAAACTAATCTAAATCACATTTTGAGTAATCAAATTTGTAAATAATTATACTTAAGAACATCTTTATTGTGATAAACGGTGACGGTTCAAACTTTTTTTAGGTATTTAAAATATGGGGACAAACGAGCACACAGTCCACCTGGATGCCACCCATAGACATCTACATTTATCCTCAATTAAAAATCTAAATGCAGATGCGTTTTCAGCTCTGAGGACTAAGATGGAATGCCTCGATTCCAGTAAAAAGGGTCCAGATCCGGTTCTCTACACTCACAGCTAAATGCTGATACCTACTTAACGCTGATATTCTGTGAGAGCGTGGTCTTACCCCTGTCCTGCTGACTTATTCGTGCCACAACCA